GAGAGAGAAAAACAGAACTTATTTCATTTATGTAAGACGCACACCAAAAAAAAAAAAAAAAATTAGTATTTCGATGATAAGAAGATAAATAAATAAATAAAAAAATAAATATATAAATAAATAAATAAGAAATATTAATAAGCAGAATTTAAATAAATAAATAAATAAGCAATTCAAGCAATTAACAAAATAAAATAAATAAATGTGTGTGTGCTCATTTCCAAATTAAAATTATTATACACATTACGTGGGAGTATATGCATTTATGTATATATGTATTTATGTATACATAATAATAATAATAACAATCAACTATTTAAGTGCAAAAGAAGTAAGTAATTTACACAATTTTCCTTTTTCATTTTCCTTTTCCTTTTTTTTTTTTTTTTTTAATGAGGACCAACTACCCAAATTAGTAAAAATAAACAATTATTATTGTTTAAATAAAAAATTTAAAAAAAAAAAAAACTAAAACTAAAAAAAAAATTCAATTAATTTATGAATTAACACATAAATTAGAAGCAGAAGAAAAATCAGAATACAGACAACGTTTGAAAAAAAAAACGAAAAACGAAAAAAAAAAAAAATGGCGGCAAATAGAATCTAAATAGAAAAAATGGATTCAACGTATTCTTATGTATATATTATCACAGATACTTTTTTTCAAGGTCGTTCGTCAACTAATTTAACTAAATAACTAAAAAAATAAAAAAGTCGTCGACGAAACGATTATTTAGAAAAAAAGTAACTTTTTTTTATATACATATATATATATATATATATATATATATATATATATATATATATATATATATATATATATATATATATATATATATATATATATATATATATATAAAACAAAAGGCTGACATAAAAAGAAAACGACAACATTCAAAACAAAAAAAAAGGCGCCAAAATCGTTCGTTTTTTTTTAAAAAGCGTTTTCAAACATTTTTTCGCGCCTTTTTCTTTTCTTTTCTTTTCTTTTCTTTTTTCCAAACCTTTTGTTATCTTATATATATATATATATATATACATATATTCTATTTCCACGTTGTCTTAACTAATAATAAACTACACAATGTTCTTCACAAAAAAAAAAAAAAAAAAAAAATTCTATAAGAAAAAATAAATAAATAAATAAATAAAATAATGACGAACGAACGAAACTAAAAAAAAAAAACTCACAAGTAAATAATAATAATAATCATCGTGTTAGATGATTATAATGATGATGATGATGACGATGACAATAATAAATAAATAAATAAAATAAACGACCAACACTAACAATCATCGACTAAAAAACAAAAAAAATAAAAAATAAATAAATAAAATAAAATAAATTTTTTTGTCTCGATAACCTAAATAAATAAATAAATAAATAATAAATCGGTTAAGTACGATTATTATTATTATTAGTAATTTTGATGATTGATAAAAAAAATTATTAATTTAAAGTTTAAGGGATGACAGAGAAAGAAAGAGAGAGAAAGAGACAGAGAAATAAAAATAAATAAATGAAAATGAATCAAAAAAAAGAGAAAAATCGTCACAATTAATAAAATAAATAAATAAATAATTAATTATTAGATTAATAATCTGAAAACGCACGTTTTTCTTTGTGTTACATTAAACGCACGTCACGTGATCGCGCGTCAAAGAAAATCAACCAAACATTTTTTTCAGATTATTATTATTATTAATTTTTTTTTTTTCATTACGAAATAACCTAAAATAAAAAATAATAAAATAAAAATGATAACGACAATAACGATAATAACAGTAATAATAATTTTTTTTTATCGGAAAAAATCAATCAATCAATCAAAAATCGTTATCATCATCGTTTTCAAATTGATATACACACATGTATGTATGTCTACGTGTAGAAATAAAATAAATGAATTGTAAATCGACAACAGAATCATAAGAAAAAAAAGAAATAAAAATAATAATAATAGTAATGTTTATGATGATGATAATAATGATGATGATGACGACGATGAATATTATGATGATAATAATAATAGTAATATTAGTAATAACATTAATGATGGGAGGGGGGGGGAAAAATGTGATGCGATGATATGATCGATCGTGTGGAAAATGAAAATTTTTTTCGGTGGGAGGGGCGAGGGGCGGAGAGGAAGGGGAAAAGGAGGAGGAGGGGGGAGGGGAGTTTGTTTTGCCAAGGGGAAACCCGAGCAGGATTCACCGCCCTCGTGAAAATTATTTATGTAAAATAAAAATGCAACTACAAAAATTTGTGAATTTCGGATAAAAACATTCGGGAAATTTTTTTTTTTTTTGTCTTTTTTTTCGGGCTCTCCAGATCGTCGAGATATTTTTAAGGCTTTTCTCACCATATTTAAAAAAAAAAAAACAATTTTCCATTTATTTATAACCCCCCGAGCCTCCGAAGAATTAAAATAAGATTCCTGAGTAATTTAAAAAAAAAAAAAAAAAAATTTTCTTTATAAAACCGTCATCACTACTTTGAAAATTATTTTGTAAAATCAAATCCAAACATTACTCTCTAAATAAATAATAATAATAATCATAATAATAATGATAATAATATTAATAAATCTTAAAATTTCCCTCTCGCATAACTTTTTTTCTTCTTTTTTCTTTTTAAAGTTAAATTTTTGAAACTTACACTACTATACAACTACATAAAATTGTATGATCATATAAATACGTAAAAATAATAATAATAATAATAATAATAATAATAATAATAATAATAAAAACAAAACAACACGTAATTTCATTCATCGACTAATATTATTAAAATAAAAAAAATCGTTAAAATCTTTATCCCTTTTAATATTCGAATGAGTATAAATATAATTAAATGCATTTATATTAATTAACAATGGCAACAAGTTAAAACGGTTCTAAAAAAAAATTAATAATAATAATAATAATAATAATAATAATAATACGATTTTTAACTTTGCTATAGTATATATATATATATCTATCAATAATATTTGTAAATATATTTAATCGATAATTTTAATAATAATAATAATATATATAAATAAAATTTATTCTTTTCGATTCAAACGATTCTTAACTTGTTTTTGTTTACGTTTCACACATTTAAAACACAAAACAAAAACAAACAAAACAAACAAACAAACTCTAACCGTTATTAATATATATATATATTATAATATAAACGACTGCTTCGAAGGCAATTAACACGTTTTATTTACAAATAGCCAAAGAAAAAAAAAAAAAAAAAAAAAACAAAAAAATCTAAACAAAACGACTTTCTCTGTGTGTTTGTGTGTTTTTCATTCGATTTTTGGAACATAACGTGCTTCATAATATATCTCTTATATCGTATATAAATATAATTTTATATATTTGTAATATCTTAATCAATAAATTATATATATATATATATATTTAAAATTTAATAAACGATTTTTATATAAAAAAAATTCTATTCATATATATATATATACTTAACTCAAAAAATTAATGGTAATAGTAGTAGTAATAATAATGATAATAATAATATTAATAATAATAGTAATAGTATATAAAGTTAAATCAATTAAACAAGTATACCGGTAGCAAAGGTGCAATTTCACTATTAAACCTCAAATTTTAACAACAACAATTCATTTAAAAATACTCGTGTGTGGGTGTGTGTGTGTGTGTGTGTGCGCGACGACAACTACCGTGATGATATATAAAAAACAACTCGAAAATATCGTTATTATCATTATTATCATAATATATATATATATATATCGTATCGGTGCAAAATTTAAAAAAAAAAAAATTAAATATTATTTACAAACGTTCAACAGCGGCAACATGTTTTTTTTTTTTTTTTTTTTTTTTTCCCTTTGTTTTATTCTATTTTAAAAAAAAAAATTAAATGCATATTTAAATACGTGCAGGTGTAAGAATATCTTTAATAATAATAATAATAATAATAATAATAATAATAATGATGATAATACTAGCATTTATTAAGCCGTAAATAATTTGTTTTGTTTTCAGTATTTTTTTTTTTTTTTTTTATATAATAATAATAAAAGCCTTAAAAATACCTCAATAAAAATTTAAATTTTGTTACACAAATAACCTCGTCCTCGTCAAATTAATTTCTCGGAAAAATTTACGAAAAAACGGTAGGGAGAAGGGGGGGGAGGGTAAAAAATTATAAAAAAATTAATTACTTGATATTTTGTTGACTTTCAAGCACAAAATTAAAAATTAAAAATTTTCTTTTGAGTATTTGTCAAAAAAAAAAAAAACTTTTTTACGAAATTAATTACGTAATAATAATAATAATAATAATAATAACCGAGGAGGGAGGGAGGGTAAAATTAAATTTTTCATTCATCTGCAATAAAAACATGTCGAAAAATTCCATTAAAATTCTTTTAAAATTGGGTATGAGAGCGTCAAAAAATAAATATAAATATATAAAAATAATTATTATCAAAAAAATCGTTCGAATAAAAAAAATTTTTTTTTTTTGTTTTTAATTAATTGGCAACCTCTTGGTAAATATCACATTTTAATTAAAAAAAAAAAAAATTAGGTACGCTTAAAAGCAAGAGAGAAAGAGAGAGAGAGAGAGAGAGAGATGGTCGGTAATGGTCGCGTATGACTAGAGTTCAATCGAATCGATCTAGGGTTGGAAAAAGTTTTATTTAAATATTTTTCAGGTATTTACTAAGGTCGTCCATTATTTACATGGTCAAAGGATCTGGAGAGCCGGGCAATGTGGGCGAGGGCGAGGTGGGAGACACGTCGCCCATGTTTCCCTTCGACTCGCTAACCGAATCGAACGATTCGAGCTGAGGACTACTTTCTTTTTTTTCCAAGGGTTGAACTTTTGTAGGATCGAGGTTTCCCCTGTGATGCAACGGGGGCAAGTGAACAAGGTGAGGGGGTGATAGAGGAGAAACCAAATTCCGATCCAAAACTGGACCGCGGCCCACCACCTGTCCAAGTCTCACCTGCGTCTGAAGCCTCGTCAGACCACGAATCCAAAGTATTTGCCCAGCTCGAGGTTTCTTGTCGGCATCCGGATCGAATTTTTCTTCTCCGAGAGCGATCGCTTCAGTGTATTCTTCAGGATGTCCACGTCCCCACCTACAAAAAAAAAAAAAAAAAAAGACAAAAAAACAATTTTATTATTGTTTCGTTTTTATTTTTATCATAAAAAAAAAAGGAAAGTAAAATTTCAAACTAATAATAATAATAATAATAATAATAATAATAATAATAATAATAATAATATTTTTTACCATCGTAAAACGGCAAAAATGTGAGAAAGAAAGAAAGAGAGTATGAGAGAGAGAGAGAGAGAGAAAACAAAAACATTTAATTTTGTATACAAACCGAGTAAGTGTTTGTTTCAATATACAACCTACAAAACGCAAAACAATCGCAACCCAGTAAGAAAAATATTAAAAAAAAAAAAAAATTTCAAACACGAGGTTGTAATGTTTAACATAAGAGGAAAAATCTTCTTAAATTATTTAACATATATTTAAATTAAAAAAAAAAAAAAATGCTTTGAAGCTCTGCCGCTTTTGTGACGTCACGTTTTTATTTTCACACCCGATCGTCAATTTTTAATAACCTTAATTATTTAACGCGTTTTTTATTTATTTAAAAAAAAAAAAACATAATTTTAACTTTTTTTTTACCGACGGATTAATAATAATTATAACGAAAACATACAAAAATAAATAAATAAATAAATAAAATCCATGCAAATTATTCTTTTTTATTGTAAGCACACTACTGAACATGCATTGACCGATCATCCATTATTCCGCCATTTATTTTTATTTTTTCAACATTTTGTCCTTAATAATAATAATAATAATAATAATAACAATCCGATCGATTATTTCAATTTTTACATACTTTTTGTTTGCTACCGTTTGCAATTTTTGTTAAAAAATTTCTCCGAGAAAATACCAAAAAAAAAATTAAAAGATTAAAAAAATAAAAATAAATGGCGGAACACGAACATACAAATTTTTGTTACAATGCTTTCTTTCATTTTTTGATCTACCATCACCAATCAATTCCACATCGATCAATCAATCAATCAATCAATCAATCATTAGCGATTCACGCATTCACAAAGCGAACAAATATTCGATGTGGTAAAACTCGAATTAAAATTTTTCTTTTCGGATTCGCTAAAAACGAAAAAAAATGCACAAAATTTCTTTTAAACATTTCCCTTCATTGTATTTCGCGTCCTCATAATTTCAACGACTGGAAAAAATTTTTTAAATTATAAAAAAAAAAAAAAAAACATGTTTAATTCGAGTTTCACAACAAAGTTTTAAACATAAAAAAACAAAAAAAAAAAAAAAAAAAAAAAAAAAAAAAAAAAAAAAAGGAAAAATTGAGCAAATCGATAACTCTAAAAAATATATATATATATATATATAAATATAATTTAAAATATATAAACATGCACGATTTTTAATAATAATAAAAAAAAAAAAAAGCATAAAAATAATGCAAACAAACTATCACTGACACAAATTATTATTATTTTTTTTAACCTTTAATAATTTTTAAAAAAAAAACCACGTGGACGACACGTGTGCAGAAATGAGAGACAGAGAGAGAGAGAGAGAGCGAGAGAAAAAAAAAATTAAAAAAAAAAAGTGCAACATGCAAGCAATTAAAAAAAAGTAAATTAAATTAATAATTAATAAATTACATTTTTTATTACGCGTGTTAATAATAATAATAATAATAATAATAATAATAATAATAATAATAATAAAATAAATAATAAAAATAAAATAAAATAAATTAGCAAAATTGGAAAGACCGAATGGGCTTCTTTTTTTTTTTTTTTTTTTTTTCTTTTTTAAAAAATTTTCCCTAAGGGAAATATATATATATATATATATATATATATATATATATATATATATATATATATATATATATATTTATGTACATACATATAAATAATAATAATAATAATATTTACATAAGACTAGTGGGAAAAAAAAAAAAAAAAAAAAAAAAAAAAAAAGAGTTCATTCTACTGTCCGTTTGTTTCCCCCCCCCCCCCTCTTTTTCCATGTATTATTTTGTATGCCCTAACAAAATCTTTAAAAAAAAAACGTTTGTCAAATCGATTACTACGTTTAAATAATAATAATAATAATTTCATCTTTGGTACCGCGAAAATTCGTTTTTAAACTTGAGTACAAAAAAAAAAAAAAAAAAACTTTAAAAAATTAAAAAAAGTAATAATAATGATAATAACATTCAATTTTTGGCAATAGGTAGTAGGTAGGTAGAGGTATCATATTAAGTGAGAGTCACTTTTGGAGAGGGTTTCGCAAGGACGTAATTTATCGGTATCGGTATCGCTATCGTCTTTTTTAACACTTTGTACATTGGTTTCGATTGAGGTATCGCGTCTATATTTTTTCCTGAAAATAAATAAAAAAACAAAAACACAAAACAAATGAAAAAAAAATTAGTTTCATGCAACGCACACGCAGTAAGAGTTTCATGCAATGCAATCAAAATATGGTCATTAATTAATAAAAATAAAAACCAATCAATAATTTTTCATGCGCTTTTTACCTTAAAAATATCACATGCAATGGCGATTTAATTTTCGAACAAGCATTATTTTCAATTAATTTAATTAATAAAAAAAAAAAATTCTACTCGATTCGAAACTCATCTGAACCTATTAATTTTTTTTTCTTTTTTCGGGAGAACGTGCGTTTATTATTTTTTTTATAAAAATTTCGAGGTTTTTAACAACCCCTAAAAAAAATGCATCAACGCAATGTTCGAAAGAAAAAAATTTTTAAATTTAATTATCACAAGTTCGATGAAAAAAGTGAAAAAAAAAAAAAGTAAACTCACGAAAGAATTTTAGGAATCTTCCGAGTAGGTACACAAGTGATGATTTGGCCCCAAAGTAATGTTCCCACTCCGAAAAAAGTACACCAGAGCCACTGATCGGCAGAAAGTCCCTTTGTTGAAAACGCGCTTTTTCCAAACTCTATGATGACGATCTGATGAATAAAAATGAT